GAGCACCTGCCAAGCATGTATAAGGCCTTGGGTTTGATCCCCAGTACCATAAAAAAATAAAAAAATAATATAAAAGATCAGGCTTACTTAAAGAATGTTTCATTTACCAATAAAGAAAAATTTCAAGGGCCAGCCAAATAGCTCAGTGGATTAAAGTGCCTGCAAGCAGGTGCAGGGACCAGGGGTTCAATCCACATGCCTGTCAGGCTGGCCGTACTCCCAGGGTGCACTGAGAAAGCAATTGAGACTGGATGTGATGGTGCTTGCCTATAATTCCAGCTCTTGGGAGGCTGTAAACAGATAGATCACTAGGAGTCCAATCTAGTAGTGAGACCTTGAACATGCTGCAGATCCTTCCCTAAAAATACAAAAAAAAAAAAAAAAAAAAAGATATGATGGCACACACCTGTAAACTCAGTACTTGGGAGCCTGAGGGAACTTCGGCTACACAGTGAGTTCAAGACTGGCCTAAACTACATGGTGAGACCCTGTCTCAAAAAAAAACAACAAGAAAGAAAAAGGAAGGAAGGAAGTGTTTCAATAGATTTTGAATCTATCAAGGCTTAATTCATAGAAAAGACCCACAGAGAACTAAATAGAGTTTTTTGCTTTTTTTATTATCTAAAGAGAATACAAAATAGTTTTAAAAAAAAAGAAAGAAAAGAAAAGAAATGATGTAGAACCTCTCCAAACAAACTTTGCTTTTGCTTTTGTTTTTGTTTTTGACTTGTTTTGGTTTGTTGTTAGGTGATACGGGCTCAGGCTGGCCTTGAACTCACTGTGTAGCCCAGGCTAGCGTCTGACTCATAACAACCCTCTTGCCTCAGTCTTCTGAGTGCTAGGATTACAGACATATACCACTGTGCCAGATGTAAATAGACAGTTATTAAAAAGCTTTACTGGAGGAATAGTTTTTAAAGTCTTGATATTGAAAACTCCTGTTGTTCTCATCAGAATTGAGGTCAGACCCGCAGAGGTGGGCTGGAGAGATGGCTCAGTGGTCTAAAGCACCTAATTAGAACAAGCTTAGCAAAGCACAGGGACCACGGTTCGATCCCCCAGCACCACATGCCAGCCAGCCCCGCCCCCTGGTGGACTGAGCTGGCCATACACACACACACACACACACA